ATTATTCTTATTAGTCTCAGTGATGATTAAAATGATTGAAGTCTAGGGCAACCGATCCAAAGCACGAAACCATAAAAGGAGAAGAGTGGATCGAACTAAAATAAAGAATAATAACAAAAAAAAAGGTTAGCATGATTATTTGTTTATTTACCTAATAATCAAAAAACAAAAAAAATGCCTATCTTCTGAGATTTGCGTCATCATGAAGCTTAACCTAAAAATGAGGGAAGGATTAATTGAATAGAATAAATAAAATAGGGTTATTATAATTAAAAAAGTTTTTTTAGTAAAAATAAAAAAGAAATCTAATCTATTTGTCTGAAACCACTATATCGAAAATAGGAAAATCGATTTTTATTTTTTCATTTTTATATTATAGCATGATACATGTTATACAATTCAATTTATTTATATTGGATAATAATCTAAACGTTACACTTTTTTTTTTAATTATATAGATGGCTAAAAATAAGCCAAATGAAATTCCAATAATAATATTTCATCCAAATGAAAGCCATTTAAAAATCAAACAATGATGTTAAAACAGAAGCCTTCAATTTTTGTTTTAGGTGTCTTAACATCAATTGAAGGAAAACTTTATTTGAAATTACATAACTTTAGTTTTTTACGTACTCAATATCAATCAAACTTTAGATCAAAATCTATAAAAGAAATGCCTTGGTCTTCTATATTATTATTATCATCATCATTATCATCACCATCAACATCATCGAATATGTCAACTACAAAATCAATAATTTATAATAAGATTTAAGAGTAACAGTATTCTATACCTTTATTAGAAAAACAAGAAATAAAAACAAAGTTTCAGCTAACTAAATTGACAAAATTATCAGATATTATGTCAAATGCACTTATAGCTGAAACTTTTATAGAAATTTCTAAAGAAATTTAGGAGTAAGAAGAACCAACTCGTGAAATTGTATCTGTATTAAAAAAATTTAAAGGTCGTTCATCTTGTACAAAATAATGTTTTCTTATAATTTTATTTACTGTAAAATAAACATTTTTATTTTATATAATAACTTATTCATTTTTTAAAAAAAAATTTAATATGATCAAAAAATATATTTTAATGATTTGTTAGTTACTAAATAATAAATAATAGTAATTTTTGTTCTTTTTATCTTAGATGATTCAAAATGCTACATATTTTTTTTTATTTTTCGTATTAGCATAAAATAAATAAAAAAATTTATTAATAAAAAACCAGCCTTATTATATATCAAGAAAAAGAAATATTTTCATATATCAAATATATTATGATAATAGTCTAAATAATTTGTAATCAATTATATAAAAAACAAAAAAAAATTTCAGCCAATAATCTGTAATTTACTAAAAATGGTAAAAATAAATAAATGATTAATCATAATGTTGTATTGTTGACAATTAGGCAAATAATTTTTTTTTGTTTTTGCTTTTGTATTATTAATAATTTATAGATATTTTTTTTTCGATTTAAATTACTTTTGATAAGTTAGATTGATTTTTTTTATTATTTATTTGTTCGACTATTAAAATTTTTCTTTTTCTTTAAATCACTTTTTGACATTGAGCCGTTTTGGGTAAATGAGATACTTGGTTTTTCATTTGATTAATTATTAATTAGTTTTTTTGGTTTTTTTTTAGATTTAGATCTTTGGGCAGTTTCCCACTTAGGCCGATTTCGGTAAGTAGGACTGGTATTTTTTTTATTTTTCATTTTATTGATTGCTAATTTTTTTTTAGATGTTTTAGAGCAGATTTCGATTTGGATAAGTAGGATTTCATTTTTTTTTAATTAATTATAATGTTTGTTTTTTTAGATCTTTCATTTATGAGCTGCTTCGGGTAAGTGGATTCATATTTTTTTTTCATTTTTTAATTTATTAATTACTAATATTCTTTGTTTTTTTAGATCTTTTACATTATAGCCTTGAAGCTGCTTTGTATAGATATTTTTTTTATTTTTTTTAGTATTTATTTTCTGATTAATTATATTTTTTTAGATATATTTTAGCGGATTTTGCATCAGGTTGCTTTCGGATATTTCAGGTAAGTAGATTTCTTTTTTTTACTTTATTAATTCTTTTTTTAGATCTTTTGGACAGATTTTTGCTTTGGTATCACATTGGGTAAGTTGGTTTGATTTTTCTGTTCTTATTGCATTATTTTCGATTGATTGATTATTAAACTTTTTTTTAGATCTGGACTTTGAGACATTTTGAATTAGTAGGATGTTTTTTTTTTGTTAGGTTATTTTCATTTTATAATTATTAATGATAATACACTTTGTTTTTTTAGATTTTTCGCGTTATAGCTTTGAAGCTACTTTGGATAAGTATTTTTTTTTTAGTATTTGTTTTCTGATTAATAATATTTTTTTTAAATCATTTTGGGTAGATTTTCACGTTAGGCTACTTTTGGGTATTTTGGGTAAGTGGATTTCTTTTTTTTTGTCCTTTATTATTAATTCTTTTCGTTATTAATTCTTCTTTATTTTAAATCTTTGTGACAAATTTTCAAATTTTTACGTCAGTCTGCTTTTGAGTATTTCGGGTAAGTGGATTCTTTTTTTTTCATTTTTTGTTATTAATTCTTCTTTTTTTTAGATCTTTATGGTGAATTTTTGCTTAAGGATGCTTTCGGTATTTTGGGTAAGTGGATTTCTTTTTTTTCTTTTTTCATTATTAATTTCTTTCACAATTCTATTCTAATGATTTCAAAGAAGCTATAAACTTATTGCAATTGCAGAAATATATGAATATGATATACTAGTATATCATATACTGTATATATCTCGTATATATATGCATATATATATATTATATAATGCAGATAAATTGTTCATGTCACAAATTCTCTAATTCAAAATGTTTATTAATTAATTCATATTGATCTATATAACACACATCGCAAGCGAAAAAGTTAGTAAATTTAGTAATGATTACCACTAATTTTTTACTCAATAATATCTCTTTATTAAAAAGTATAATTTAATACTAGAATTCTGAACAGGTCAGATCAAATCGGGTAATTGATTTGTTTCAATCTGATAAGGTTAAGTCATATCAAACATAAAATTGACCTGAATTAAATATACATTTGACCTGATCTGATCTGATCTGACTTGTCTAAAAAAGGAAACTAAACAATTATTAATTTTGTTTAATAATTTTTTTAAAAAAATATAAAAAAAATATTGATACTTTTTACATTTAATTATTTTTCAAAAAAAAAATACTAATATAATTATTTTAACTGCAGAATTTAAAATTACAAGTTGCGATAAATCTGTAAATCTGGTGAATGCTAATACAATTATAATAAATATTCATAACTTTATAACCATAAATCTAATCATAATAAGATTTATATGCACATATTTTCGAATCTGCTAAACAACTTTACATATATGACCAAAGTTGATTTCCTTTAACCAAAATACTTAAATTGCTTTTTGAAGTTACTAAACAAATAAAAAAAAAAAATATTTCGTAAGATAATACAATTATGAAAAACATTCATAACTTTATAACTATTAATTCAATTATAATAAAAATTTATATGCATATATTTTTCAAATTTGCTAAGCAACTTTACTTATACGATAAAAGTTGATTTTCTTTGACCAAATTGCTCTCTTTGAATTAATTGAACAGATAAAATAAATAAATAAAATTAAATTGTTGAACAATTTAATTGCTAAAATGTTTATAATTTAAAATTTAACTTTTTGATTGTAATAAATTACAAAGTAATTATACAAATAAAGATGAGAACTATAATTAATATGTTGCAACTTTTAATGTTGCAACTTATGTTGCAATTAGTTTTAACCTATATATGTTGTAACTTATAATGTTAAAACATATGTTATAACTAATTTTAGCTTATGTTGCAACATTTTGTAAATTTGAAATCAATTGTTGTACCATCTTTATATACAAATAACTTTATTAGAATATAAAAAGAAAGTATATTAAATAAAATTAAAGATGTTTTAAAAAAAAATTTGACAAAAAAAAGATTTTTTTTAAATATTTTATTTTGTTTAATTTGATTGACCTGAATTTTATTAGGTCAAGTTATAAGCTTGATCCAATCTGATATTGATCTGAAAATTTGTCTATCTGACCTGGATTTTTTTAGGTCAAATCAGGTCAGGTTACAAGTTGACCTGACCTAATTCAGAGCTTTATTAAATACTGATAATTAATAAAAATAACTTACAATCTAAAATTTTAATTATTTTTTTTAAATAAAAAATTTATTTAATAAAGAATTATTAGCAATATTAGCAAATACATAAATGTTCATTATAATATATGATGCTCAATTTCATTACCTTTGTTAAAAATTTGATATTTTTTAATTAGAAAAGAATTATTAAATTTAATTCTTAATATAAACTAATCTTATACTTAACTCTCTGATATAATAAATAAATTTTATTATGTATTTTAAATAAAAAATGAATGATGCAACAATATCGTTACCTCCTACAAATATAGATAATTTAAATTAATATATATTAAATAATTAATATAAACAAACTATTATATTCATACATTTTAGTAACTTCTTCATAAGTATTTAACGTTGTTAAGCTTAAACTGTTTGTCATTAAGTTAACAAAGATTATTTGCTAGCAGGGAGTTTATGTACGTCTAAACTATAAAAGAAATAAACACGAATAATTAAATTGAAGAATTAGGTCATCTTTATTGATATGGATTTAAAGAAGAATGAATTGTTTAATGAGCAAAGATAAGTTTTTAGAGATAAATGTTATTGATTTATTAAAGAATTAGTAATAACTCTACCATTTACTGAGATAGAAATACAAGCTATTTATATAAAATACATCAATATGAAATAGATATTTAAAATAGTAAAGAAATATAAGAAATATAATAAAATAAAGAAATTAAATATATTAAAGAAATATGTGAAATTAGAGATCATTAAGAAATTAGTGAAATTAGAAAAATCAGAGAAATGATAAAAAGTTGAGAATCGTAATCATCAAGATTACCATTTGTCAATTATATTAGACGTAGTATCGTACGTTATAATAAGACTATCACTAACAATATCTATGTATCGTTGGTTTAATTTCTAGTAAATTGTTTAAATTTATAAGTAATTCCTAATATTTTTCCATCATACAAAAAATTTCTTCTCGATATCTTAATGCAAATGTATTATTTGCCTCAAACTCTGGCAATTTTATTAAATTTGAAAGTGTTACATTTAAATTTCAGTATGTTCTAACATTTTCATCAAATTAAATCTGATTTATGTATTGCTGTCAGCAACGACCGCTCACACATTATGCTTCATATTTAATTCTCCATCATTTATAAGGCAACAATTTCCTCCAAAATTACCTATCTTTGTATATATTTCTATATTTTTAACTCCATTTTTACTTGTTTTATCACTTTCATTTGAATAAAAAGATGTTTTTGTAAGTTATTAATACTTGTTCTTATATATATATTTCAATTCCAATAAGTTTTCGCAGAAAATAACACTTTGTATTTAAATGGAATAGATCAATATTCGGACTAAAATGTTATTGTTTTACAATTTAATCAAGAATACTTGAATCAAAAAGATTCAAAACAAAAGAAAGAAATTATTTAATTTACGCTTTAACACTTACATTATTCCTCTAAGGAAAATTTTAATGAAAAAGAAAATTTCTTGATTATTACATCACCCATGACTTCACAAATCAACCAAAAAATAATGAATCACATCATAATTATCTTTGCAAAATTACTTATTCTTGAACTTGTAATGTTTAATGCAATTATATATACAATGACAATTCCAGAAAAATCATACCAACTTTATTTAATTGAATTTTTTTATGAAAGGAATCCCTGCAATTACAATACCTTTAACGTTACAATATTTAAATTTCCATATATATACCTAGTGTTGTCGGTATATGTTTACAATTTATACATTATTATTAGTGCAATCTTTTATCGTTTTTTCCTTCATTCCTCACCAAAAAATCAATCTCACTCCTTTCAAATATTTCTCTCTAATTGAATGGATGATCACATATCTTTTCAATACAAAACATATGTTTGATGAATCATGGATGACATCAAGCCCTCATGACTTTGGTACGCTCGTTGGCAATTAATGGCTAATGAAATTTTCAAAGAACTAGGATTTTTACCTGTTAAGAATGTATTCATTCCAATTGTCTCTAAGAAAATCACAAATATGATGGACGTGTTAGGTGCATTCGTTATTAGTTCTTTATTGCATGAATACCATAATTGGACAATTTGATCTTCGGAAAGGTGAACATGACTTTTTCTTTATGATCCACGGTGTAGTATTCATCTTGTAGGAAGCTGTTTTTGGTCGTGAAAATAAAAATGAGAATTCGAAAATTAAAAGGTTCTTAAAGTGGCTCTTATTGCTGATTATTATTTTGTCTGTTTTACCAGCATTCATTGAACCTTTTTAAGATATTAAAACATAAGAATTTTAAACTAATAATTTATGCAAATACAGTCAGAATTAGATATAGCAAACCTTCTGGTTTACTATGAAATTTTTTTAAAAAAATTGGTTTATCAAAATTTATAAGTTTTATATAACGATTTTTACATCAAACATACAGTCAAAATTTTTAAAAAAATCGTTTTAACAAGCTTTTATTAAGTGTATCGAGAATCGTTATATCGAGTTCTGATTGTAATCACACTTTGTTTTTCAATCAATTTTTGATGCTAAATAAGGTTTAAAAGTTTCAGAAGTTCTTATAGCATATGATATGCATAGGCATTATGCTTTGTGCACATACGAATAAAAAGTAATTTGATTTCGAAATATACTCTACTTAATTCTGGTTAGATCGATTATAAAAGCGATAAATTTTTTTTTTAATCTTGCTAAATTTAGATTATTTTTTTAAGGCGTGCGAGCTGAATAATGCCACAGCGATTATTTTCATTCTTAGGAAGCGCAGTATGTACTTTTATTTATTTTATTATTTTCGCTTTAGTTTCATTTTTTCTATTTATTTTTTTTTTTTTTTTTTTACTTTTTCGTAATTTAATAAATCTATTTTCCGTTTAATTATTGTAATCCAAACAACATTTTTCAATTTCAACTAATCTATTTATTCCCAATTATTATTTTTCTGAATTAAAATAAAATATATGATTTAAAAATATTAATATACATTAAATTTTCCTGCTTGCTATCATATAAGTTGTGGAATATGCAGATATAAATTTTTTTTAAAAAATCTTTGAAAAAAAAAATAACGAATAATACGTCAAACGATCGCTATATTTAGTTTTCTGGTCAATCGTCAATATTTTTTTTATTTTTTTTGATTAATATCTTCATGACTTTTTTATAAATTATGTTATTAAATTAGTAAATAAAAATAATTCTTTTTTAATTGCTTTAACACAAAATCGTCAAAGCAATAATTTTTTGAAATGCAAAAATGGAATTAGTATTTTACATAACTATTATAAATATTCTTATCGCACAGGCCTATAAGCAGTGTTGTTATGG